AGCACCGCTCAGTCCCTTGGCGCTGACCCCACCTGGCGGGCGCTCCCGGGAGTGCCCGGCTTCCGAGCAGCCCCAGTGGCCCTTCCTGGGCCCTTCAGGGACGGGGGTCCCTACCCTCGAGCTTGGTGGTGATACAGCTTCGTTGTCGCTGTTGTGTCAATGGCTGGTCCTTAAAGGGAAACTGCTCACCTGTCCCTCTTGGGTCCTGAGAGGAAAGGGGACCTCAGGGTCTCCCCTGGTCTTCCCTTTGCACCCCTCTTTCTAGCAGGAAGTGGGTGGTTCCTCACGTTCCCATGGCTCCATCAGCTCTGAGAAGTGCTTCTGCTGCTGGTCTCTCTCTGCTCTCAAAGCAGAGAATCCAACCTGATGTCTGTGACCGAAGGAGGTACCTGGTCCCTCACAACCACCACCGAGAGGCTTCCCAGTCGATGCCTCTTTTTCTCTCCAGTCATTACAGTTAGTAAATCCACGGATCTGTTCTTACCGAGAGATGCTAGAGAAAACACAGGGTAGGATCTAGCAGAGATTTTCATGAACAGCCTGACAGGGTGTAGCAGAAGGTGGCCCACGAGGTATTGGGGTGCAGGGAGGGTGGGGTGGCTAGTTCTGCCCTGAGTTGGAGGGGACAAGTAAACTGAGTCATCGGGGATGAGTAGGGGGAAGAGCACTCTGGCAGGAGGCGTGGTGTGTGCGGAGGCCCGGAGCTGAGGATGGGTGAGCAGGTCTGTTGTGTATGCAGCTCTGGGTGGGGGGTGGTCCTGGAGGGTGAGGCGGGAGCAGGGTGCAGAGGCCGGGTGCTGGGGTGCTGGGCACCGTGGTGATGAGCTGGGGCTGTGTCCTGTAGGGGCTCTGCAGGAGCTGAGGGTTGTGAGATCGTGGTGGGGCAGGGACCTCGTGTGCCTCACGCCGGTCTCCCCAGGACCTGCACTGCGCCCGTAGCTCGGGGAACGTGTGGGAAATATGCAGGAGCCACATGGCTGGCCAAGGCTGATCCTGTGGGGCTGGGCCAGAGATGACGGCTCTTCACGAGGTGCCAGCTGGGTGCTCGCTGACCCTGCCCAGCTCCTGGCAGCAGCCCCCCCCCCCACCCCCGCTTTGTAGTCAGAGATTGGCTGGAGGTCTCCTTCCAGGTTCCCCTGAACCTGCACTTCCAGTTTCCCCTCCCAGCGCGCCCCGTCCAGCTGTAAATGTTCACACGGGATCTACCACCAGGTGGCGACATTGGCCACACTACAGGACTGGCCCTTCTGGCCCTGACGCCCAAGGACACCTTGTCCATCCCTGCAGCTGAGACCAGAAGAGCCTTTGGGTCTAGGGCACTGGCTGTACAAATGGGTAAACTGAGGCCCGGAGAGGGGAGGTGCTTTGCTGAGGACGCATCCACAGCAGGACATGAACAAGGGTCTCTCATCCCTGTGGTCAGCTCCTCCCAGGAAGGGCATCAAGGAGGGGCCGGGGTCCATCACTGTCAGGATGGAAAGTGGGGCCCGTAGGTGTGGGAGTGTCTGTGCACCCACAGAGCCTCAGAGTAACCCCCAGGTCTGGGCGACAACAGGCAACAAACACGTCTGTAACTGCAGGAAAGGGGCTCAGAAGGAGCCAGGAGAGCTGGCAGTCCCCCTCGGGGACACTGGCAATAACATGCGTGCCGCCAGCTCTCCATCAAGAGCTGGCTGAGTGTCACTTCCCAGCAGGACCTGCCATGACCCCAGCCCAGGTGCGTATGCCTTGCAAACAGAGACCCCCTCTGCACACGCAAGACCTGAAACCCATGCGCAGGGCCACATGGCCCCGTTTCCCTGTAGCTTTGAAGGCCGACCTCACCACCTGCCCATTGTCCTAACCCATTGTCTTTGTGGTGGCAGGGAGGCTGGGAAGGTTGGGGCAGCAGAGCCCACGCCAGTTTCCTTCAGGAAGAGGGATGGGGGTGGAATCCAGGGGACCAGCATGGAGGCGGCGTGGGAGGAGGGGGCCTGTGCCTTCACCTGGGACCGGAGGTGCCTTGGGAGGCTTGGCCTCCGGCTGGGGGCTGCAAGCAAAGGCGGCGTTCTCCCCTCCCTGCAGTCCACCCACCGAGGGTTAAAACCTGCTCGGAGAAGAAAGCCGGGAGAAAACCCTGTTCTGATTTGCTTAGTGAATGGTAATTAAGAAGACAGAAGAGAGTGGATTTTTTCAAGACGGAGATGAAAGGCCTGCTAATTAAATCTGGGGAGATCGGGCCAGGGCCCTGCTGATCCCACCTGACAGCTCCACAGCCTCTTTGGAGCCCCGGGGTGGGGGCGCCAGCACAAGGGGAAAGAAGCCCCGCCCAGGCCTGGGGGCCCTGCCCTGGAGGCCCGGGAAGGAGCCCCGCTGGCACCCCCGGGTCCTGCCTCTCTGGGACCCCTTGCTTTCCCCCCTGGACAGCATGAGGTTTCTGGTCTAGGAGGTTCCTCACGACGCCTGTCTGGCTCCACGGCGCTGTCAGTGTGCATGCCTGGGCCTCAGTCTTCCCTTCTGTCAAGTGGGGAGACTCCCCCTGCTCAGAGACAGGCAGGCCGAGGAGGAAATCAGAGCTGGGAGTCTTCCAAGGCTGTGGAGAACTGTGGAAGAGGGGAGCTAGTGGCTGGCTGCCCATGGCCCCCCAGGACCCTGCGGCTAGCCCCAAGCCCCTCTGTCAGCGCTGTGATGGCCCTGCGGGGTGCCATCCTGAACCTTGACCAAGGACAACGTGGCCATCGCGTGGGCTGCCTGGGGGCCAGGCCTGGGCTGAGTGCACCACCTGCACAAGTAAGTGCAGTCAGGGAAACTGAGGCTTAGCCAGAGGCAGGCTCTTGCCCAAGGCCACCTGCTAGTCAGCCACAGAGCCGGGATTCAAGCCCAAGGGCGCCTGGCCCGGAGCCTACGCTCTTTTCCACTTCACTCTTGTCTCCTTCCTGCCCTCCTTTAGGGAGCATCTGCTCTGGGCCGGCCCTGTGCTGGGCACTGGGGTTGGCACGGTGTGGGCAGTGGGTAGTCCACCACCTCATGGGGCCTACCCAGAGAATCAGGGAGACAGACAGTGACCCAAGAAACCAACTGATGAATTAGGAAGTGACAGATCATCATAAGAGCCACAAAGGAAGTAGATACGTTTGGGCAATCAGGGGAGGCTTCTCAGAGGAGGTGACAGCTCAGTGGAATCTTGTAAGATGGAATGGGAGGCTGGGCGGAGAGGGAGCTGACAGGGGGCTCCTCAGCTGTCACCCTTCAGAGCGTCTTCTACCCCCGGGGGGGGGAGGGGGGGAATCCGGCTCCTGTGGGCTCTTCTCGGGGTGCTGGCTCTTTAAAGGGGTGAAGGTCAGGGGCAGGGAAGGAGCTGGCAAGCCCAAGATGGGGATAACCGACAAGTGGGAGCGCCCTCCCCTTCACGGGGCTCCAGTTGGAAACCGTGAACTTTACAAATGTCAGGGAGAGGCGGGCTTCTCAGCCTGGGACCCCGTGGAGCCCATTAGCATTCGGGTGCCCGCTCTGCCTGGGCGGAGGGAGATTTATGCCGCCTGCTGGGGCCCAGGTGGGAGCGCCTAGAAAATAGAACGGCAAGGCTGCCAAATCTATGCCTCCCCCAGGAGGGTGTGGGGGTGCTGTGGGGGCACCCGGGGGACAGGGAAGTGGAGAGAGAACACCCACAGGCGGAGAGCCAGGGGCATGGGTGGGGCAGGAGGACCCCGCTTTGCCGTTCCCTTGGAGGGGTGACCCCTCGCGCTCCCCCACACTGGGACCGGCCCTATCCCTGCCTCTGACTACGAAATCATCCAGATTGCTCCTCAAGGCAATCCTGGGGAGAGGGCATTGGCCCCCTGCTACAGATGGGGAAACTGAGGCTCAGGGAAGTGGCTTGGCTGAGAGGGCGAGGCAGGATTTAACCCGGTTCTCTCTGATTTTCTTAGCAGCCTCCTGTCCCCCCACAACCCCACCTCGTTTCCTGGATAAACCACATTTGGGATGCCCACTGCAGCCTGTGGCATTCCCTCTGCAGGCACCCAGGGAGCGCTGCGCGGGCTGTGGCACATGTACACACACGTTCCCTGCGTGGGAACACCCTTCCCGGCACACCTAGAGGCCAGCCTGCTCCACGGCTCACGGTCTGTCCCCATGGCCGGCAGGGACACGTGTCTGCAATGGGATCGGCCCCCAAAGCACCTGCAACACATGCTGGGTCATCGGGGGTGCTGGGCGCTGTCAGGCTTCTGTTTGGATGTGTGTGGCATGTGAGTATTGTACGTGCGTGCATTTGTGTGGCATGTGACGTGTGTGCATGTGTGTGTTTGTGTATGCACATGTGGTGTGTTGTGCTATGCATGTGGTGTGTGTACATGCACATTTGTGTGGTGTGTGCATGTTATGTGGGTGGTATATGCATGTGGTGTGTGTGCATGTGTGGAGAACCAGGGTGGGCATGGTATAGAACTCTCCTTAGACTGGAGACTGAGGGATGCGGGTGCAGGGGGCGGGCCTGGCCAAGGCAGCCTTGGTGGAGCTGAGGGAGGAACACACGTGGGATCTGATGGGGAGGGCGGCCCGGGCAGGCCCTGGAGCCTTGAGCAGCCCAGCGGGGGGCCTGCGGGCTCAGAGCGCCCCCTGGGACGGGGAGACACAGATGTGGAGGCACCGGGGGTGGGGGCTTGAAGCCAGAGGCCAGCTTCTCGGGCACATTCCCCAAGGGGCACAGGGAGGGGTGATGTGGGTCCCTCGAGTGGTGGGGTACAGGAACC